GCAAATGAAAAGTTAATTTTTTTAAATTTCACTTAGATATTGGAGAATTAAAAGAAATTTTCAACACGAAAGATTTTTATTTTTATAATTAAATATTCTTTGAAAGGAAAAAATAAAAGGGTGGTAAAAAAAAGATTAAAAAGTTTGCAAGATAAGCAATAAAATTGATTATTTGTATCATTTTATTTTTATTCTTTATTTGCATCATCTTGCTAATAACAGGGAAATGGAAAATAATGATTTTTTTAAAAGAAAAAAAAGAGATATTTTTATGAAAGAATAAGATAATATTTTTAAGTAAAAATAATTTTGAAAATCTTTCTTAGATATTGGAATAAATTCAAATGTTTATGTTTACCAAGAAATATTATTTTTATTTTAAATATTATTATAAGGTTTTTAAGGAATTTTTCTAAATTTCACATAGATATTGGGGAATTAAGGAAATTTTTTATCATTAAATTTTTTTTTCAAAGAAATAATGGTAAAAAGTATAAAAATAAAATATTTGAAAAAAATAAAATTAATTAATTAATTGCATTGTGTGATTTTTATTTGCATCATTTGTTTCATATATGGCATTACATGCATCATAGCCAGTAATCAATGTGAAATGAAAAAGGATAAAATTTTGAAAAAAGGATTTTTAAAAATAAAAACTAATATTCTTAAGTAAAAATAATTTTTGAGACTCAACCTAAATTGGAAGACTTTTCATTTTTTTTAAAAAAATAATATATCAAATTTTCAGAGATATTAGGAAAGACCCAAGTAGAGAAATATTCTTCAAAATTCTACCTAAATATAGGGAAATTAAGGAAATATTTCAAAACTAAAGACTTTCATTTTATTTCTAAATAAAATATTTTTAGAAGATTTAAAAAAAGGGTTAAAATTATGGGAATCATTTTAAATATTAAGATTATGATTATTTTTATCAATACTAAGGATACATGTGGTTAACTGGTACTATTTTTAAAATCAGCACTGTGGAGATGTTAATTGTTCTTCACGTGTAACTGTACTCTTGAACTCAAATTTATTTTCTTAAACCAAATAAAAAATTATCTTTTTAATATGTTTTAATTAATTTTAAAATTTTATTAAAAAATAAGTTTTTAGATGATCAATTACACTTAACCAAAAAAATATTAATCTAATGATTTTAAAATTTTAAAATTTTTCTCTAATGGTTCCCACAACCGTTATGACAAACGGTAGGATCAGGAAGTCTGTATTGCACCAAGCCCTGAACCTGCCAAGGAAGGTCTTTGCAAAGCTGCCAAGCCACCAATTGATCACCATTTGCCACTGCAACTCTTACTCCATCCACTGCAGACCTCTTACACCCCAATCTCTTAACAATAGCTTGGTCAAGGAAATTATGAGCGCTGCCAGAATCCACTAGTATCACCAGTAATTGATTTTTTATTTTTCCCTGGAGTCTCATAGTTTGCTAACTAGCTGTTCCAATCAAGGCATGCAAGGATATTGTTGGCCTAGTTAAAACATCCACCACTTCAGCATTAGCCTCAGCAAGGGACTCTAAACAATCAGAAAATTCTTCCTGCTGCTGGTTGCTGTCACTTCCTTCATCCACCACTTGTTGATATAATTGTGCTCATATGCATCTAGGCTTGCCACAAACTTAGCTCCGCAACACATGCATAATCTCTTCCTTTTCCTTTCATCTCTTTCCTCTCTAGAAGGAACTTATTGCCCTTAGGTAAGTTGGGTTTTGGTTTTGTGTTTAGAGGTTTATAGGTACTGATAGGGGTAATATACTTTGCAGGTCGGCTAAAGTTCATGAAAGAAGTTTTTGGTGTGGGCAATAATGGTGGATAGGCATGTTTAAAAGGATTTGGTATTTGTGTGGATAAAAGTGGGCCTATCAGAGGAGTCTTGTAAGGAGTGAAAGGTTTTCTGGATGAGTTAAAACATAAGGGCTTCCATTTGTTAGTTAACTTGTAAGCATGGGTCAGATTCTTTAGGTAAAACATCCTAGCTGGCTTGGATATTTAATGCTTAGGTTACTAATAAAGATGCTAAGGGTATGCTCATCAGATATTTGAATCATATTGAGTAATCCTTCAAACTCATCATAATATTTATCAATAGAATGAACTTGTTTCAAACTAACAAGCTCAAACATTAGTTCAAGAAATCATTGTCATCAAAACGAGATCGCATCTCCACAATATATTGATACCATGAAACTTCAGTAAGTTTACCTCTGTTTTTCACAAAATGTTGGTGACACTAGAGAGCTTTGCCATCTAAATGCATCATGATTATTCTGACCATATCTTGCTCTCTTATTTGATCAGCTTCAAAAAACTGGTCGATCTTCAACAACCACCTCAGAAGTCACCACCACCAAATCGAGGACACTCGATCTTTGAGTACTTGCTATAGGGACCAGAAAGCATCGGAAGCTCCGCCTAATTGATCACCTGCTTCACCCCGTTAACGTCCAAGGTCTACTTCTCTTTGGCCAACAAAACCACCCATTTCAGTTTCCTCTGATGAACCAAACTTTGAAGCCATCTTTTGAAACATCTTCTTCATATTTGCCTCCAACCTTTCCATATAGTTGGGCATTTCATTCCTGATCTCTTCCTTCATCTGAGCAATCTTGATTCCCAATGTAAGCTGAATCCTTTCAACCTCCTTTTGAAGTTGAATCACATCCTTTCGTGATCTGGTCGTCACCCCTTCCGCCATGCTAGAATCAGAGCTTTAATACTAGTTGATACACTTCAAATCGAGTGTAAATAGCGAAGAAGAAATATAAGGAATTAGAGAAGAAAAGAAGAGAATACTGAGAGTGAAAGGAACCTTCTGTATTGAAATAATCTAGAATGATCTTACACTGACGATGCTCTCCTTAACGAACCATACATTCTCGTAACTAATTCTTTAACTAATCCAACATTAACATCACTAATCATGCATTAACAGAAGTTAACTATCTTTCAAAATAAACCACTTCATTGGACCCATTCCAAAATTGGACCTCAGTCGTATTTCAGCCCACTCGCCTTATGCAATCTCCAACCTGTAGCAAAGCCATAACTCATCCCATCTTTGAGCTCTTCCCAACGCTCGAAGCATGATATTATAATAAATTACATTTGGCACATAGGTTTTTAGTGATTTGAAAAACTCAAAAACCCAAATAACTCTCTCACAATTACTTTGTCCGTTGAGTATCATAGTCTGCTCTTTTGGACTCAAATTCTCACTAACTAAACTAAGGGTTTTCTCTACATACTTATTGGACTCCAGAGACCTAAGAATCGAAGGCAAAACACCTCCATAACTCTTCTTTTTAACAACTTGAAGAACTTCTAGTGGGCAAAAACAAGGTTTTAGAGTGATACTGTAGCTTAAACCCTAGAGAAACCCTACATCTTCTTGAATTCTGCTTCTGGGTATATAAGTTTAGGCTGCCACTTACGCCATGCTCAGGAAAGCTCTAGCTACACAAGGAAAATGGAGGTGAGGAAGCTTTCTTGGTGAAACGAAGATGTGATGCTGGAAACTTTCATGCCTCAATTCTCTTGAACTATGTATCATTTTGTTGGTTTGGGTTTTTGTTTCTTGCTCTTCTTTTGTATGGTTTAGGCCCAGAGTTTTTTAGGGTTAGGGGCTGCTCAAGGTTTTGGAGTTTTCTGTGATCCTTAGGCGTTGGCACTTGCTTCCCATAAGCCAGCCCTAACAGTAACAAAGCAAAGCTGCACCCAACTCCTATTCCTATAAAGGACAGAAGGAAAACAAAATTCAAAATGCTAAAGCTGAGGGATAATAATAAATGTCTACGGCACATCGAATGGCCTATTCAGTTTTTTTTCAGGAAATTTTGATTTTATTTTAGCTAAGTTATTATAATTTTTTTTTTTTGCTATTTATATTTTTGGTTTTTTTCCGATTAATTTTTTATATTATTTCTTTTATAAAAAAATAAGATTTTTGGATGAAGTTGAGTTGCCATTTTCTGTGTGGTTAGTTTTATTAATGTTTGGTAGCAATAGGTTTAAAGCAAGACAAAAAAAAATCTTTTTCTTTAATTTTGCCATGTTTTTATTTTGATTTTGCTGGAATTGTAACGAATTTTTTCTTTCTATTTTTTTGTGTCCAAAAAACGTTGATTTGGTAAAAAAAAAAAAAAAAACATTGATGCGGTAAATGTTCGCGCAGTTTACGTGGCAACCATGCAGTTTTTGAGTTAATTTGTTTTGAATGAAATCTGATTGAATAACTAAATTTGGTATAATAAACAAAATTTAGTAATCCATTGATATAAATTGAAGTTTAGTGATGTAAAATAGATTTTAGCCAATTGGCCAAAAAAAAAAGATTTTGGTCTTTTCCTTTAAAAAAGAAAAAAAAAAAGAGATTTTTGGCCAAATTTAAGTGATGTAACACTGAAATTTACTCACTTATTAGCGATTACAAAAGGAGATTAAGACCATTTAGGCCAAGAAAGAGAGACCAGACTAAGTGGAGCTGTCGTGGATATCGGGTCCCGAACAGGATTAGTGGTTTTTTTTTTTTTTTTCTGAAAAAACAGGGGCGAGCCTGGTCCGGCCAAATTCTAGCGTGAGCCCCATCTAGCAGAAGCTTTGAAAAACCTGCCCAAAAGTGGGTTTTCCATTAATTCTTAATGTGCCTCAGCTACAAAATCGACTGTTTGGAGTTTGACAATACATGATATTGGCACGCTTGAATCCTTTGCTCATATATTTTGTCCTACTTGCAAACAAATGTATCCAGTGATTTAACATAAATTACAAGTTCAACAAACATAATTTAACATAAGCTTAAATCGGGTAGACTTGCAGGCTGCAGCATTTCTCAACTTATCCCTTTTTATATGCAGCAGTTATGGAACCACATATGGCCTGTCAACGAGCAATTTGAGTTTATTTTTCAGGCTATATTTTAAATTCTTTTTCATTTTGCGTCATGGTACTAAGATATTATGTAAATCCGTCTTCTGCATGCAAAGCAACAGGCTATTGAGTTTCTTCATTCATCATCTCGGGAAGCAGAGATTAAGCATACGAGTCATTCTATGTATAAAAACATTGAAATTATGGTCAAAACAAATGATTGCCTGCCAAAAGAAACTGCCTTCTAACCACAAACTTTGATCGTCATTATGTCCAACTTTGTCTGATTTGTCAACATTCTTCATTCAACAAATATATTTAAAGAACAATGAAATGAATTGGGAATAAAGCCACCAACGTTATGGGAAGGACAAGTGACAAAGTAATGGTAACTTTTTGGACATATGCAAGTTCACCTGCAAACACCATCTTCTATTCCAGACTCCGTATCATAGTGCCGCCATCATGGTTCTTGTTGCAGCCTCACGCTTCATCTCAGCAGCTTTACCACTACCTCGGAAATACATGTAAACTTGCTGTAAATACAAAAGAGAAAACAGAGGCTTAGTAGAAAACAAAATGGAGCAGTTTCGCTGAAATGGTAATGAAAGAAGAGAGATTAGTGAACCTGAATAACCCAGACACTGAGCAATGATTCAACACAAAAAAATCCAAAACCAATAAAGTACAATGTCTGCAAGTTGAAATGAAGCACGGACAATGTCAAGCCTTCTCAGAGATGCAATGAAATAGTAAACGAGAACCATGCAAATGGCAGATATATTTTCGTATTATTCCATACAAGGCTATATACTTCATAAAATCATGATCCCAAATAGTATTGATACTACAACAATGTGCTTGAAAATTGACTATGGCGTTCTAATGGTTTGAGACTTACCCCCACCAAAGCATGGTCGCTGAAGATATCAATTGCAGGCAAAATACCTCTGCACAAATAATTACACCATGAAGACAGCCAAAGATTACAATAGAGGAAAAAATATACAAGATTAAAGCTTCTCCTACATGAACGACATAAACATCTTTTCCAGCAGAACAACTAAGAGATGGTAAACATGTTGGAAATTCAGGGATAGACTTGCTTCCCTTCAGATTGTGTAAAACCGTAAACGCGTAGAACACAAAATATGGCTGAATATTCCGGAAGAAACATTCAAAGAGGCAAGACATCTAGTCTTTCTCAAAAAAAAAAATAATAATAATAAATAAATAAAAGGCCTTCTCTATAAAAGAATTAAATAAAGAATAACCTTAATTCCAAAAAAAAAAGTTGTAAGAAGCAAAATTCCCCAAGGAAAAAGGCCAAACAAACTTACGCAAGGGATTTTCCCTTGAATATAATTGGAGGAGCAACTGCAGCAAATATGCAAAAGCCAATATGCAACTGCAAGAAGGAAGAAAAGAGTCAGAAATGAGGAGCTTTCCAACATATCTTCCATGAATATAGAACAATTACAATGAGAAAGCAAGAAGCATACCAAGTAAAACAAGAAAAACCACCCAAACTTCAACGCACTATCAGTCCTGTAAAAGGAATAGAAACATAACTATATAAGTTAGGATTAAGGATTGGAACAAAAACTAATATGTAGATATACATAAAATAAATCCAAGTACATAACTACAAGTGGCATTTCTAAATAATTCTCATAGTTTTTTCAACCCATAGTCACATTGTTTAAAAAATGATGGTACATGATTCATACGTAGGGTATCGTAATATCATCTCTCCACATCTAGAAGCAGAAAACATGTTTTATAATCAGTGGATCCAAATTTCCAATTTCTTCACAACATAGGAGTCAAGATAGCAGAAATAATTACACAAAAGTAATATAACATTCACAAGCAATAATTGGATAGATACAGTTTTAATTACATATAAACCAGATAAGGAATAACCCCAATGTAGTACCTCATAGCATGATAAAGAGGGCGATACCACAAAACATAGCCCCCAGGGACCCCAGATATGAAATATATGATGGCGAGAAACCAAATTGTTGGACCTGGAAAAAATATATATATAAACTCAATATGATAAAAGATGCCAAATTAGCAATTAAATGCTTAATGTTAAGGGCCATGCTAAGTTTCAAAACCCACCTTCTCCCTTGATCCAGGCAGTGGTAACAGCTACTATATTCCATGAGAAACACAGAACCAAACCTGCCCATGTTCAGATTATATACTAAAGTTAGCATCAACCATCATAACAAAATGGCAATTTAGACATTTTTCAAGACATGAACAAGAAAATAATCTAGCCAAAAAGAATCCAGGAAATGAACATTACAACCAATATGATCCACCTTTTAACTGAAAGACTCACTGAAGTATATGTTAGAAAGAGCAAGAGAGAAATAGATAGGCAGATAAAAGTTAAAAATAGACTGAAACAATAAGACAATCCAAAATCAAAATCCAAGCACTGCCATTTAAATTATTGAAACCATTTCCCAAAGAAACAAAGAGACCTGAACTTGAACTCACCTAACAATGTTGTGAAAGCAACATACTGCATCTTTTGTAGGTGGATTGGTATTTCATTTGCAATGTCATGATGGATAATAGGAAAATATGGTGGCCAATTTTTCTCCTCTATTACTATTCCAGCTGCCAAGACAAGGGCAAGAACATATGTCAAAATCAAATTGGTAATGTAAAAATTCATCAAGTCATCAACAATAAAAAAGAACCGACCTCGTGCTATTGCATCCTCCTTCCTTTTCAATTCCTGCATAATATAAAGATAACACTCAGTTACTAGGAGGACAATTTATTCTAAAAGAAAATGGAATTGCAAAACCACCTTACAGACAACACCAGTTACATATGGCATCCAAATTTACACTTAAGGATCAAGTCACTGAAGAATTTAGAATTTTCACAATGAAAAGGAACAGAATTCAGGACATAAAGATATTTTACAAACATTCAGACAGTAAGAAATAGATCAAACTACAATATGAGTCAGAAATTAAGATTCAAAATTTATGGCTTCAATTTTTTGCACCAAGTTAGCAATAATTAAATTGAAATGTCTATAATTGAAACTACAATACAAAAGGAGTAATTGAAGCTACAATACAAAAGGAGTAACTTATCATTGCTGATATCAAATACCTCAAATAATTAACTCGAAGCACCAGATTTATTATTCATCAGCCAGCCTTGCTCAAATGCAAACAGACAACAAGAAACTACCTGTTCTCGCCTTTTCAGTTCAGCCTCTTTTGCTTGAAGTTCCTTCTCCTTTGCTTTCAAATCCTAGAGTTGATAAGATAAAAAATATATATATCAAAAGAAGTCTTTTGCTTAAACAGAAAATACAAAAACATGATAGTAGGCCATTCAATATCTGGATAACTTTTAGGATACCTTGGCAGAATCAAGAGGAATATCTATTGTTGCACCACGGTCATATGGTTCGGGAGGAAGGGGTGAAAGCCTTGATGTTGCAGGAGGGACACTACCAGGATTCTAAAATTATATATTTATAATTAAAAGAAAAAAAAAACCAAGATTATAAGAACTTGCACGGGATTACTAAATTATGCATACACAAGCACAACACATAAACTAACAGCATATGCAAGACAAGAAAATAAACCAGTCACATGACAAACAATTACAGTGTCAACAAGCATTCCTACATAAAATTTCACAAAGCAAGCAAGGCATAAAGGTAATGGGAAACAGAGTCCCATAAATTTTGGGATAAAAGATTATGCACAAAACTGCACCTACAATCAGGATTCAACATGCCATCTTCCTAAATATCAGGATATATATCGGCTTTCAAGCTACATCTCACTGTCTCAGGGAGAAAGCAAGCTTATCCCTCCATGATCGCTTTCCTGGAGCTTTGCATTCATTCTCACTATGGGTAAATTGGTCTTTCATGTAGCACCTTTTTTGGATCTATCCAATTTCCATTATAAGTAAATGAGCTACTTAAAAGTTGGGAAAGAAAGGAATTTATTCAAACCCAGTGGCTACAAAGAGTTATGAATTCATCCTAGAAAAGAATTTTGTTACCGCTACCAATACTAATAGTAGCATCCACCACAAAGACCAGTAAAAAGTGAAGGCATTTCCATGATCATGTTCATTAGCAGCAACTGTAGCAAGCATCTTCAACGTAATGGCAATCACTCTCATTATTGCAACCATTTAACTACTAGAATTCTAGTACCACTACCAATCATTAGAATCAAGTCAAAGCATGAGCATCATGAGAAAATCAATGATTGTCTTTCACTAGTCATTGCAACCAAGCTATGCGTTAATAAACACATACATAAAAATTCAGTACGTTAACCACTCTATCTGCCACCATTTTTTGCTCCAAGAATTGAAATCCCAGTATCAAACATTATGCAGGTAAAGGGAACCAGATAATTGTAGGAAAAAAGTACTTACCGTAGTATAAAAGTCACCTCCACTATAATTTGATTGCCCTGATCCTTTCCTAACTGCTGGGTCCTGGAATAAATAAAATGTAAACATACAGCTCATTATAAGCAACAAAAAAAAAAAAACAAACTAACTTAAGAACTTCAACAACAATTCATCTTGCAGGAATTAAATCAGTGCCTATGCTTTTAAGGATATATCGTGACAAAGTTCCATGTGGTCAAGCTGAAGGGAAACAAGTAAACAATTTTTACCAAAGAAATGCCATACACCATGAATTCTCATGTATCAGCTCTATGTATCAGAAACAAAGCTTATTTATCTTTTTTTTCTTTCTTAAATAAAAATCACCATGTCACATCCATAACAATTTGTCAACGTTTAAAACGTACATCTCAGAAAAATGGCATTATTAGAGTCTAACCTTCAGTTACTTTCAATTCGTAGCTTTACATTTCGCGCAATGAAGAAAAAAAAATCAAAGGAACACAGATACGAGAGCTACATTGTAGAAAACAATAAATCCTATCTTAAAATGAATTAATTCTAACTCAAAGAATTCCAATTGGAAGAGGAAATGAAACAGATCTAGCAATTTAGCCAATCAATCATCCAAATCAATAAAACCTATCGATCAAATCTCGCAAAAAGGAAACAGACAAATATGCAAACCCCTGCAATCGGACGAATTGACATTTATGGAAAGTTGGATCCGGATGCGTAAATACGTGCGTACGGAACTTACCGAGAAAGGATTAACCTCTTCCTCGACGAAAGGGTTAGAATCATAGCGACTCATTGCATCACAAAAACGAAATTCCTAAGACTAAAACAATGCGCAACAGATCTGAGTTCAAGACACTGAAAGAGAGACAGAGAGAGACAGAGAGAGAGGAGAGAGAATATTTGGCAAAAAATAAAATTAAAAAAAAAAGGAAGAAAAGATGGATTTCGAGAAAATATAGAGAGGGAAAAATAAGAGGAGGGGCTGGGGTGCTTCGATTATTCGAACGGTTGGATGTAGTTTATTTTTGGAAAGAACGGTGTTTGTTTCTAAAGAAAATGGAAGGGAAAGAAGACCAGTAAGAGTCTCGCGGGCTGCGCCTGGCGTTTAAATAACACTTCATAATGGGCTTGATTGAACTTTTAGTTCACAGTACGTTCTATTGAATATTTTGGCCATATCCGCAATTTTTTTAACTTAAAATGGTTAGAAATTGAATTCTGAAATTAAAATTTAATATTTTATTAACAGATTATTAAATCACGTTATTATTAAAAATTCCACATTTTCTTTTATACTACTTTTTTTTTAAATCTTAATAATCGTTTTAATTTTCTTTTATACTACTGTTTTTTTTTAAATCTTAATAATCGTTTTAATTCTATCATATTTTGATATAATACGATTAAACTCATCGTACCATTACATTTTTAATTAAATCCCAACGTCAATATTAATTAAATTAAATTAACATAAATTTTTTATTAAATTTTTTTATTTATAATTATAATTACTTTTTTATTCGTTTATAATAAATTTTATTATTATTTTTAATTTAATCGCAATAAATTTTACCTTCCATTCAAATAAATCCTTAGCTGGATGATACTGCAGAATGGTGTCCATTCGTTGCCCTTGGACGTTTTCTATCTGAATTTGTTTGACATGCCACCCTTAGGTAATTTTGATTAAGACTGATGATATATATAAATATATGACTGACAAAAACACGAATCTTAGGTAGCAAGGTAAGAAGTGGTCAATTACAATATTTTAAGAATATATTTTAGAAAAAACGGTTAAAAAACCATTCGGGTAATCAGATTTTAAAGAGTCAAATTCAAAGGTTATATCCAAAATGCAAACAAATTTAAAGCTACATATTTTTCCCACAAGCATATCAATTTGCTCAAGTATCAGTTCAAACAAGTAGAAAAGACAGTAGCTGCATCTCTTCTAGGATAATGTTTCTGCAGTCCTGCAACCTTATAAATTCGCCTTGCAAATTCAGGACAACCATTTAGGACACCTTTCATATAGGTACATAATGGTGTTAACTACTAAGAAAATTATGGACAAAATCTTTGTTTTAAATTAGGACATAACACCACCTAGCCAAATAATAATAATAATAACAATACACACACCAATAATATGTTCATATGTTGTACACATTACTAGATGGATCTATTCAGGAAAAGAGAAATGAAACCATCCATCACATTGAGGAAACAAAATCATTATGAATAATTAATAATATTATGAAACAAATGATAAGCATATTTATGCCATAGCAAAGACATTGTTTGCATGATTTAATGAACAATAGAAAAATTAAAAGCAAAAGAACTGAAAATTCAGACTGTTCATAGTCACAGCAATGAGGTACCTCGGTTGATGACCTTCAAAACTCCTCGTGTAAGAGCTTGGGATGTAACTTGGGTGTGTTAGTAGGAGCATTTTGTCTGCTGCCTCTTTACAACGGATGTATTTTCTCAGATCAACATCTGTTGGATCAAATCTCTGTGACTTAAATTCATAAACTGACATTACCAGGTTTATTGCCTACTATAAGTCAGTCTCCATTTGATTCATTACTGGGACGCTCTCTTCGTACAATGTCCAATAGATCTTGGACAACTTCAGACATTGGCGGCCGGAATTCTGGTTCAGACTGAAAAATGAAGTTGAGGTTAGGCAAGCAATTGTACTTTTAACATGGGGAGAAAGATAGAGAGTGAAATCCTAATTACATATGCTATCTTTTTAACAAATCATTCATGGTTACACCATTAATATGAAATATAACATGCACAAAAGCAAGAATTAACCATTCATATGAAACATAACATATAGCAAGTAATTAAGTGACACACTTTATTAAACTTTTTTGCAGTTTAAGATCATGAATGTAAATTAAAACCATTTCAAGTAATACATATAGTCAACCAAGTCAACTCCACGTAGAAACAGACTAACTTTGGTTTGCCCCTGAAACCTTTCAGGCTTAGTATTTATGAAGAATCATACTTCTTCATGGCAAAGTAAGAAATATGTGCAAAAGAATATGTCCAAGATGTTTGATTTTGGCTGAAACTTTTGTACCGATGGATGCTTAGGCAGAGGATGTCTAAGAGCTATATTCTCAATCACAATCCTTTTTATTTCAATTATCATCCTCGAATTTGTGAGAGATTGAAATTTCATTCCAATGGCAATAGAAAATGTAGGTTAAATATTAAAATTTTGAAATTCCGTAGGCTCTTAGTCATTAGGAAGACAATTCCTTGAGAATCCAAGCCTTCAAACTATTTTATGCTTTTACTTACGGTGTTTGGAGTAATGGTCTAAACAAATAAAACGTTTGATGAACAGTTTTAAACAGGCTTGGTTTTTGTTCATTTATGTGCATTTATTAAGCTTAACAAATTATCACGAATACCATTTCAAGATTCTTTAATTAAATGAACAGATAACGAACATAATAAAGTTCGTTTATAATGGCAAAGTGTAACGAAAAGAACATTCGACTAACAGTTCATGAAAAAAATGAAAAAACTCGATTTTCATTTTTTTATATTCATTTATACTTAACATCAACCATGAATAATATTTTAGGTTTGTTAATTAAACAAATAATTTACAAATATAATAAAATTCATTTATATTTGATTCATTTACACCCTAATCTAAAGAGAAAGAAACAATAAGTAGCATGGTGTTTCTCCTTTGTCTACTGCCTCTTTGGTTTCTCAAATCATTGAAATTATTTGATTGAAAATTAGCAGCCACAGTAAGTTCTAAAAGATTATCTCCAATTCCTCTTTTCAGCTACATCGGGGAATTAAGTTATTGGGTAAAAGTTGGTGTTTTCTTTTTGTGTTGTTATTCCTTGCTAAAACTTGTTAGCTTTTTAGTTTTGTAGCACAACATTTTCCTGATTTTTTTTTTATAAAAGAAAATCATATCCGAAAAAGAAAATTTAGGTTAAATTAGACATTACAAAAAAATAAATAAACTCTTACCTAGGAAGTACGAATATGAACATGAAATACGGGTACAACATGACATGAATACGGCAACATATCAATTTCTAAAAAATGAGGACACCGATATTGTACAACACAACAATAAAAATATTTTTTATATATTTTTTATGTAAAAATTTAATGTAAATGTAAATATCAATCTTTTAATATTATATTTTTTTCAATTTAATTCAATTTAAAATAGGATATTGATACTATCATTTGGGGTTAGCACTAATCAATTGTAATCAATTTAACCAATCGAAACTGATCAAAATATATTAATTCGGTTTGGTTTATTTAATTTTGATATTAATTAGTTTTAAAAAAAGGTTTATTTAGTTGGTTCAATCAGTTATCAAATTTCAAAATACTGAATATACTGAATATACCGAATTAATCGACTTTATTAATTTATTTTCAAATATATTTTTTATATAATAAAAATACAACATAATTTAATCATATTTTAAAATCATATAAATAATATATCACTTATTTTATATAGTATATAGTGTATATATAAAATAAATATAAATAACTTTTATGTAATAACATAAATTATATTTTTTTTAAATAATTAAAACCAATCAAATAGACTGATTTAAGTTGGTTTCAATCATTTTAGTTTCACTTTAAATCAATTTGGTTCAATCAGTCATTTCAAGTGAGGTCAGTTAATTCAATTTTTGAATTTTCAAGCCCAAACTGACCAAACGATTGAATGTCCTCCCCATTCATCATCGACTATATTCTACAACAACACATTCTAATCTAACTTGCTTTGCATTTCAGAAGCCTATTGTAAGTCTACCATTCTATTTGCATGCATTAGGTTCAAGTACCAATTTTACATCCTAGATAGAATGCTTATATAGCAAATAGTTATGTGCACATATATAGCATATAAAAACTAACCATGCTATTCTCACCTGAAGACACCGAGAAATGATATCAACAAAGCGTGACAACGACTTAGCAGGATATTCTCCATTGAGAGAAGGGTCAACCATCCTAGATAATGCTTCAATGTCATGGAGTTGAGGGATTGCCCATCTCACTAGAAATTGCTCCCCTCTACTCCTTGTCCTAAATAACATTTTCAAGAAAATATAAATTAATCACATTAATGAAATGCACATATAGTGATAAACTGCAATAAGGTTTCACCCCTTCAAGGTTTCACCCCCTTCACCTGTCATAAGATTTCCTGGCAGTTAAGAGTTCCAACATAAATACTCCAAAGCTGTAAACATCACTCTGGGAAGTGTAAATTCCGGTCTCAAATTCTGGAGCTCCGTAACCATAAATTGATTGCAGTTGTCCTGACAACTGAAAGTAGAACAGTTTCAGAATTGGAAAGCTGAATGCCCAAGAAAGATTTATGTAGCTGCCCCCAACCAAATGGTATTATCAAGATTGAGAACGAAATTCAACAATAAGCATTTAGTTTCAATATTTTCCTAACGTGAAGCCAAAAAAAAGTCTTCAACATTTTCCCTACATGACCACAAATTTTGCCTAGCCAACAATACCACCATTTCTGCCAAAAAAAAAAAAACATAGAAATATAATTATGCCCTTGAGTCTGCTTATTACTGCACTATCAAGAATGCTGACACTATTATTGAATATATGACATAAAGTTTGTTTGTCTAGCTCAATCTTTTTATATAAAGGATTAATATGTAAAATGTCCCATGTACTATATATCTTCTATCAGTTTAATACCTAAAGAAATAAAATTCTCACTTTAATAAACTAACTTTCATTCTGTTAAAGCACTTTGATACTTCGCACTGTTACTGTCATTAAGTGGCTGACGTGGCATGAATACCCAATAAAGTCATGCCACATGTCATAAATGTACAATCATCATGTCAGCTATTGCCACGTCAACAATTTTTTCTCTTCCCGTACCTTTGCCTTTTTATTTTTTATTTTTTATTTTTTAAATTTTGAATTACAAATATATCTTTAGAAATTTTAAAATTTTTTACTTAAATGCTTACATTAAAAATAGATAATGTGGTAATAACTGGACATTTATGCCATGTACCATGATTTTATTAGGTATTAATGCTACTTAAGCAAGTTAACTAACGGTGTTAGATTGGAGTACCAAAATGCTTGATGGAATGAAAGTTTGGGTACCAAAATGAGAATTTTATTTCTTTAAATACCAAACTGACAAAAAGTGCATAACACATGGGCCATTTTTTTATTTAACCCCTAAACAAACAAAGGCTAACTAATTTATTTCAGGCACATATATTAACAGCAAGAACATGATTCAATTCTTGGCAGCAAATAAACAAGCAATTAGAGGAAAGGTGAGGCACTCTTTCTTTATGCATATACTAGTAGGCATGTGAATAAGGCAGTTTCCTCTCCCAGATATAGAATCATCTGGGACCTTCCCCGAATAATTTTTCATACCAAAGGAAAGGCCAAAGTACCTGTCCTTAGTGTTAGTATCATGCCATCACCAGACAACTGAAACCTCTAAAATTTCACTTTGTACTAAAAGTAACAAGGGTAGATGAACAGTCAAAAATATGAGATTATCTCAAGAGCTTACCATCAGACATTCACTATTACAGCTGCTTCCATTTAATATTCAGACTGCTGTCAATTATATTCCTCTAAGCTGATGTTTCCAAGAAAAATGTCGTTATGTTTTTTAACTTTTTTTCATTTTTGAGGAATATCTTTTAACTTACTAATCGCACAATAGCCACTTCTCAAAATGCAAACAACCCAGTCTCAATAAAAATTTAAAAGTTGTGTACAACCCAGTTAAAGTTCCAAGCTTTACCACTGTCCCATGTTCAAAGAGGCAATACTAAGGTGATGACAAGCTTGAGCGTACCTGACTTACAGAACCTGATGCTATTAATGAAGCCAAACCACAATCAGCGACACGCACATCGAGATCATCATCAAGGAGAACATTGGCAGACTTGAAATTTCTGTGTACAACCGGTGGCTGGCAGGCTCCATGCAGATACCTTCTCGCATAAAACAAGAAATCAGGACTGAAATGGTGTGTACTTCGACAAAAAAACTTAAGGAAAGGGTCAAAGAAAATTAACAAATCCCCACCCCCTCCTCAAAAAAAAAAAAAAAGCTGTGTGTGTGTGTTGAGTGGGAAGAAAACATGAATTTATCCGTTTAGCTTACTCTTTACGTTCTGCAATTATGTCAATCTGCAGAACTAAGAACTATTAAGTATGTAAAATTACTAGACTCTTAGACTAATCTCACTCTTAATTCTTTGTCCACTCCAGCACAAAGCTACTTGGAACAGAAAGGTCATCGGCAGAAAAGACAAGAAGGTTCATTGGAAAACCTCCCACCAGCAGTTGGTCAATGCTTTCTTTTGACCTATCATAATTATCTTAATTTTACTCCCACTATTAACTTAGATTTATTGGTTTTACAATTTAGTCTTTATAAACTAAAGCAGGGAGGTTCTAACCAGATTCAATTTCATAATATAACTCCTTGTTAATAACATCATGCTGAAGTGCTTGCATAACATAACTGATGACACCCCTTCCATTTAAAGAAAGATTCAGACAACAGGAGCCCAACCAATTGAATATCTAAAGTTGAACCTACTAGATTAGAGAAGAAGCAATGCAAGATATAGCCATCTCATCCCAATGGTGACTTACTCTAAGGCTCTAGCAGCTGCAAGTGCCATCCGGATACGGGCATTCCATGCAAACTTCTTCTGAAATTCATCATCTGCGTGGAGCACATCCTGCAGTGATCCATTACCGCAATACTCATAGATCAAAAGCTTTTGACCATGCTCTGCACAGTAACCCATCAGCCTGACAATATTCACATGCTGGATACGATCAATATTTTCTATCAGCTCAATAAATTCATCATCCTTCTGCTGGCTGGCAACTCTCTTGTCCAGTTTCTTGACTGCAAGTAGCTACAAAAATGCATCCAACACAATTATGCATCAGAATATGAAGATGCTCCATGCATATATACTATCTACAATGTCTACTTAATATGCTATGGCACCATACACATGAGCTCAATTTTGTGTTTATATGCAAATATGCAGACAAGGGGTTAAAGCAAGGACAGAGGGAGGGGAAAATGGCATTATAAATTCTAAAACTGACAACCAATAGGTTATCTATGACCACCAAAATTTGCTTTTACTGGCTAAAGTTAACTCAATATTTCTGTTAGATCTAGCAGTATTTCTTTTCCACTTGCAGGCCTACGAAGCAATGATACAGACATGGGAATGGGTATGATTGTAGCATTCACTTTGAAAATTTATTAAAGCAAAAGAAAGGCCCTGCTTCTAATGTAATCAAATCTATTTAAAACAAATAATTGTACCTTCCCATCCGGAAGTTCTGCCCTATAGACACTCCCTAGCATGCCACCCCCTATAAGATTTTCTTGAGAAAAGCTGTTTGTATATTGTTGAAGGGCCGCAATGGTGAAAGACTTTGCAAATGTAGATGGCTTTGGAGTTTTGGCAGAAGGCCTTGCGGTAGTTACTTCATCAGGCACAATTGGTTTCACAATGACCTTCTCAGAAAGTGGTGGAGGAGGTGGAGGGGGAGGAGGAGGGGGTAGTGGTGGGGTCTCCATCCACGTCATATCAAATCTACTCATGTCTATCTCATGGTCAAATCGCTTTGGTGTTGTGGCTGTCCTTTCCACATTTCTCTCTTTCTCATTCTGCAGCTTTGCAATCGCCCCCATTCTTCCCCTCTCTGTTTGATTACCTCCCACTGGTCTTGTGACTGCCTCTTTTGGGCCTGTTGACAAAATTTTCAAAAAAAAAAAAAGCCCTATTGCTCAAACAATTAAAACCTGGAAAAAAAAAAGCAAAAAATCTATATCTAAAGCATAATCATTTGCCTTTCTCTGTTTGACTGGTTGTGGTGGGTACGGGACCATCTTCACCAAGTTTCTCTCTGTTGCCTCCATATGCACCCACTTGATGCCTTTTGAAAATTATGCCCGCCTCTTCCCTTACTCTGCTACACTTTGGCATAAAAAACGGAACTCCTAAAGCCAATATTATAAAAAACAAAACACCCGCAACTGATATCCACACCACTCTTTTGGTAGTTAAGAAATTCTTCTTCTCTCTCGAATTAGATCCCTCTGACGCAGAAGGCCCATTGGCATGTTTTCCAGGTGTTTGATCAGAAGTTGGTGTTTCAGAACGTGGCGGTGAATGTGATGGTGCTAATGGTGATGTGGGAGCAGGCAATGGAGCAATGGTTGAATTAAACGGGTTTCCATCTTTTCTGTGCACAGAATTTCAGTATAAGCAAACAAACACATAACAGAAAGAAAAGCATATAATAATATCAATTAGATTATATCCACAGAAAAAAGTGAACCAAATAAAAAAAGTTATAAAATATGTGCATTTGGATTATAGCTATAGAAAAAATGAAAAGTGGAGTAAGAGCCATCCTCAAAAGAAGATTGTGTTTAGTTATTGTGCCATTATAAATTGGGCTCCATAAGATGCATAAATCCATCAACCAGATTTTAACCAATTCTTACAAAACAATTGGCCGTCATGGTATTTCTCAATGATAAACCATATAAGTTCCCTAAATTTTGGAAGCTGAGAAACATCACTAATATCTGTATCTATGGCATTGAATATGCACCTATCAGCATGACCTTTACTGATGTGTGCTTGCTTAAAATTGGCAAATGAAAAAGATTAATCTCTTCAAATGTGATGACTGCACAGTGCTCACCTGAAGCTTGGGATATTCAGCATCTTCTCGGGTATGGGCCCAGAGAAAAGGTTATTTTCTATGTTCCTGTTCAAAACAGGATGAAAAAGGTAAAGGAATTTTTAGCCAAAATTCCTCCTACAAACTTCTAAAAACCATTATAATATGGTTCTAGAAATGTTAAAGAATTATAGAAACAAATATTCATTCTAAAAGAAACAAATGGCATAGTAGAGAATAGTACAAATCTTTTAGGGAAAGATCTTGTAAAACATCTAGTGTCCCGGACAGCTGATTGACCTGCAAACGTCTGCCAAGCAAGACAGTCAGCTTTATCGTCCATTCAGATAAAATTGCCATTCAGAATGGAGGATAACTCACAGAGTGGTCAGACGAGACAAATTTTCCATAGATGGAGGCAGTTGCCCACTCAAATTGTTATTGGACAAATCCCTATAAAGAAACAATTTGCTCCAATTATGAATAAATTATAAAAGGAACCAGGAAATTAACAATTAAATTGAAATTTGTGATCTACAGATTGATCAAGCCAGAAAGGGATTGAAAGGCATCTGGTATCTCTCCACTCAAAAGATTGTTGTTCAGTGACCTGACAGTACCCAAAAAAAAAAAATCTTAGCAATATCATTCTGTTTTGAAGTAAGAACAGGTCGGCATCATCTCAAACAACAAAGAAGCAAAAACTTACATGTCTGTCAACAGAGTTAAAGAAGATAGTGAATCTGGAATGCTTCCACTGAACTGATTGGCTGAAAGAAAACTGCCAAAATTTAAAGAGTTATATGAATTTACCAAAGAGATGAAAAGATATGAATTCATGTGAGGATAAAACATACAAGTTTTGCATAGTAACAGGCAAATTGGATGGAATATTGCCCCCGATCAGGTTGTTGCTTAGATCTCTGAAACAGGACAAATTACAAAAAAATCAATGACAGTGACCATCCTACATATCAGAAAGGAATGGTATCATCTAATAGTTTAGAAAATGTGATAATATTACTATAATATAGAGAAGAGCTATCTCACACCTCACCCTTATTTTCCATGCATATCTAGAGCACATTATTTTCTCACTTAGAAGCTAATAATCTGATCGCTGAATGCATTAATAATTGCATGTATCAAGCATGATATAATTATTTAAACCGCTTAAGAAAATTCCTCTATATGGGTTCTTATGTTTGAGAAAATTAGTTTAGTGTTTAACAAGTTTAAAAAGTCAATACATTTTAAGTTCCTAAAAATCCCCATGCATTTGAAATCAATCCCAAACCTAAATGCAGAATAAGTGCCAACCAAGTGCATTCTGTGCTCTTTTTTCCATTATATTCTCGAATGAAGACCACTGTAAAAGAATACAAAAAACAGTGAATAAGAATTAAGTCTCCCTCTGAAATGCAGGGGAAGTCACTTCTGTCAAGCCGATACTATAACATCACAACATTGTTCAATGGACAGGCATAGGCACAGAAAATGGTTTGTGAGAAGAGAGAAATACCACTTACATTGCCTTGATAGAAGCAAACATTCCTAAGTTGTCATCCAGTTGTCCACCCAAATTAGCACCATTTAGAACTCTGCAAAAACCAAACCATCATATTAGAGATATAAACATTGGAAATGTTGCAGAAGATATATCAACCTAAAGAGTCAAAGAAGAGGCTTCCCACATGCTCATTATGTTCGAACCATTACATTGTACGCCTTGCCATGCTTCAGCACAGGGGTCTCCGCCAGAAGCAACCCATCCAGGAAGTAAGGGAGAGCCCATTGCGGTATGTAAGCTATTAATCGCAGCAACTAATTTGATCAAAGCAATGCAGGCATTTAGAAGCAAAGCTCCACATCATAACTAGAAAGCATCATAAGAATTGAAAGGAACCACAAACACACACATTAAAGCATCAGAAAATTGAAAGAGAAAAAACCCAGCTAAAAGCTTATTCGTAGCAGAGAATACAGGGAACAATTAAGAGAGCAAAATTTATGAAATCGAAACTTCTTCAGTTTTCAACTATTTGACTTAGTCAAACCGACCAAGCCTGTTTTGCCAGCTTTAGACAGTGATATCACTCATGTTGCACATCTTTCATTTTCTTTCACTTTCCAAGACTTTCTCAGTAACCAAACAGATTAGACTACAAGGAAAAAAAATATTGCTGCAAGATTAGCTTTACCATCACTAGGATTGGTGAGTCCAAACGAAATCCTGGCTGCCCAGATCAGCAAAAACCCCACAAATATCTTCAAATTCTTCCACTCTATACCAGATCTTTTACTACCCATTGATCTCTAAACTCAACTTAAAAAATCCTCCAATATTCCAAATCTCCCCTTCGTACCATTAATCCATCTGAAATTCAAAACAAAAACCAAACATTAAAAAGGCAGAAAAAAAGTCAGTGATCTAAACTTAAAATGATCTTAGCAAAACTAAACTAAAATACAACTACTATTACAAAAAAAAAGGAACAAACTTAAATTCCTGTCCCCTGCATAAAACATGTAAAGACCAAAAACAGTTACAAGTATATGTGTACACGTATATGTACGTATATAAGTACATTTCAAATCTTTAAAAAAGAAAGAAAAGAAGAAAAGAAGTAAGAACTTACAGGGAAGTTGAAGAGGCTGAAAGTTTTAGAGAAATGTTGAAGACAATCGAAGTAAATGAAGCCAATAAGGAGGAGAAGAGTGTTCAAAGAACTTTCACAAAAGTTGTAGAGATTTTTACATTTCGCTTTTAACCAAAAATAAATAAATATTGAGTAAAAACTTAGGTGCTAAGATTCCATGAATTTGTGAACGGAAATCAGAAGATAAAATATAAAATAAAAACAACAAAGAAAAAAAAAAAAAAAAAGGTATACAGCAAAATGTGGAAAAAGGAGCAATAGAGGTTATTGTTACGCAAAAACTTTTGTCCAATCGCACTAATAAAAGTAAAATTAAACAATCGAGTAATCAATCAAGAAACGAGTCCATTCAAATTACGTTTATGGATAAAAAAATTTATTAGTTGTTTAAAACTACAAACGTATAATCTAATACTTATAAATCTTTTAAATCTATTTTAATTTTATAAAATATTTTTAATCCAAACAATCATATAACATAAACAAATATATATTTATGTGTTATATACTATAACTATGTATATTCTTTCAGTCTTCTTTAATTCACTCATAAATATTTAAATACATATACTCATAAATCGTAAATCTTTAATAATCTAATAAGATGTTTATCATATAAAATCTTACAACTCTTTTATATTTTTAATACCTAAGAATAATGAGATTTCACATATTTATAAATATATATACTTACCTATCAAGAATCTTTTTTTGTTAAAATTCTTTTTGTAAATCTTATTATTCATTAAGGAATATCTAATTAATTTCAAACAAATTTATTATGAAATTTAAGTTTTCATTTTTAATAATCTACACATTAACTCAAATTCATCAAATCATCTATCTTCATACTGAACATATTTAGCTCCACTTACAATGCAAGTTTCATAATAATTTTTTCTTGTGTGTTCATACTTCACGCAAACAATCTTCAATCTTCAAAATAAAAACTCGAACTTTTCTTTTAAATCGAGCTCCTCTAAATTTACCTCTTCATATATCTCAATCTTTTAATTTTTTTCACGTCTTGAACCTTCAACTCTACTATTACTTATAGGAATCACAATAGCTCTAATACTATTTAATAGGCAAAAAGCCACAATCAAATCACACTAACAAAAACAAAATCAAACAATTGATCAATTTGATCAATTGATCAATTAATCAAGAGATAATAATTTAATATGGTTCGACTTAACTGACTTACATTTACAGATAAAAAATCCACTAATTATAAAAAATTACAAACATATTATTCATATATAGTATTCATAATTAATATCCATAAATCTTCTCAATATCTTTTAGTCCTATAGAATATTCTCAATTCAAATAAATACATATCTATTTGCACTCATTTACGATATTTATATAAATTTTTTTAGTCTCTTTTAATCTGCTCACAAATATTCAAATATATATACACATAAAATAAAAATTTTTAATAGTCTTATAGGTGTCTGTCTCATAAAATTTTACCATTTTTATATTTTTTAATAAATTTTATATATTTATAAGCATACGTACTTATTTATCAAAAAATTTTTCTCTTAAATTTTTTTTATAAAGTTTTTTATTTTTTAAGTAATATCTAATTAATCTTAAATAAATAATGTATTATGTAATTTGAGTAACTGTTACTTACTGTTCTCTCTAACAATGATTTTTTTTTCTTTTTCTTTTTTTTTAGTTTTTTTTTAAATGTGTGAAACAGCTTGGTTTTTTCTGTATAAGTGTGACAATGTGCGTATTGGTCACGTGTATCATCATCTTCTTGTATATTTTCGTCGCTAACGTTAAAAAAATACCGGACACCGCTTTGAGAAGCGTGATTCGTGGAAAACAGTTCCGTTAAGGCATCTTTTTGAAACGAAGATATTTTTTGGCTCCCGGAACAGAGGGTGCGCGATTTGTTTTTCAGGGTCTCGGATTTTTTTTTCTGACTGATTTTCCTGAGCCAATGGGAAATCTCTGTTTTTCAGTGGACTCAACCCATGGCTTATCTGAAAATTTAATTTTTTATACTTTTTTTAAAAATTGATTTTATCTGTGGATTTTGCTTTTTGAATGACGGCAAAGGCTGATGGTGATGGCGGAGGGAGAGTAGGGTCTACGCTCTTTGAAGGTAATTGAGAGTTTTAAAGGAAGTAGACAATGAAATCCCTCAAACTAATTTACAAACCGTAAATTTGAAAATATAAAGAAGAGCTGCCGGTTTTTCTATGAAGTCCACGTGCTTTGTCGAGCCACTCTTTCTAGTTTTCTTTTCATCTCATGCAAGACCCGCATTCAGTTTTCAAAAGCAAAATGAACTTGATGGTTTTTTTGTACTTTTGTTTTGGTAGTTAAAATGTGCACGTAATTTTAATGTTTATAAAGCAAATGATTAGGTAATGTTGCATTTCGGTTGCAAGCTTACAATCTTTTTATTGGATGTGTGCATATTAATGATACTAATACAATTATGACAAAAAAAATATATAGTAATACGACAAGTTCATTCAACTTTGAAATTATGACAAGGAAAATTTTTTCATTCAAGTATTGATTACAAATGTTACTTTTTATTTGTCAAACAAAAAAGAAAGGTAAATCAATAATTGATTGTTATGTAATTCAAACTTTTGGGATGTTTTGAATTTTCTTCTTTAAAAAAGAAAAGTAGTTATGTTGATTTTATAATTAATGATTATAAAGAAAGGAGGGATCAAATTGTACTAGCGTAAATTTTTTAGTTTTATATTTTTTAATTATTAATTTTAATAATTTTAAGAGATGAGATTAAATTATTTTTTGATTTGTTTCTCTCATTCTTTTGATTTATAAAAACTTTCATTTTTAAATTTATTGAAATTAATGCTTAAAAAAATATATAAAATAATATAAAACTTTTTTTTTATATAACTTGATTCCTTCTGTTATAAAGAATATATGGAGTAATATAATTATTGTTACCAAAAATTCTTTTTTACTAGTTTTGCACTTAATTTCATCAATAGTAACATTAAAGAACTCAATCAACTCACCATAATAACAAGAAATTAGAAGGCAATAAAAAACATTGATTCACACAAAAAAAATGGATAATTTCTTTTTATTTGAAAAAATATATTCAAATTCTATTCTTTATAAAAATAAAATCATGTAATAGTCAATTGAATCGAATGTAAAACATTGATAATTAATTCCATAGGAATGTTAATAAACTTATGAAAGAAAAAATTGCAAAGTTGCCAGAGCCGAACTAAATTAATTGACTAGTTGAACAGGGAATTAGTAAATCAACCCAATTCTTGAAATTGAAAAGAAAATCAAATATCCATCGAATTAATCAAAGATCAATTAAATTAAGTTAGACCATATCAAATTAATTTATTAGTTAAATCAAGTTAGATCAAGTCGAATTAATTAAATTTGATTTGATTTTGATTATTTTTATTTAAATTGTTTTATTATTCAAAAATATTTTGTAAAGCTGGGATTGAATCATTGTTATTGTAAAATTTCAATAATATATTAATCACCAAATCAAATTATTTATTTATCAAATAATTATTATATATAATATATATTTAATAGTAAATAATGTATTTAAATTTGTTTACGGTGTTTTTGGTGATGATAAGGTGGATGGTGATATGGAAGATGAGTTTTAGTTGGTTTAGACTTGTAGCAAGAAAACACAATGAAAGGATATTGGAGATTATCCTACAGAACACATTTGATAGTCAATTCAGTTAAGCAAGTTAGGCTAAGGAGGGAGAACGTTAACTGCCAAGAAAACGTAGAAATAAAGAACTCAGAATGTGTACGTAAATCTCTTTTTAGCCTTATATATATATATATATATATATATATATATGACATATTACCAGTGACATAACTGGAGTCGATAATAGTTGATAAAAATTTTATTTAAAATTTAAAAAGAGTTTACATGAATAAAAATAAATTACATTTAATAATTTTAAATAAATTGAAAGTAAATTAAATTGTTGTGAAATGATATATTAATGAGACGTTAATAAAAATAATTAGGCAAGTTGTTTTCAAGAAATCTTAGCGGGCATGTATGAAGTAACTCACAGGCAAACCCATATTATGGCAAAAAGCTTGAGCGTCAATCTTTGTTAGTAAAAATGTGATGATTGAATATATGTTGTTTTAACAGGCATAAAAGTTTACTTTTATTAACTGAATAATTAGGAGTAACAAAACTATAATTAATATTCTCGTTGAATCAATTGATTGAATCAGTTGGATTGATTGAACCGAAAATGGAAAATCCAATCGTTCAAAACTTCAATAGTAAAATATTGAAAAAAAGGCATTAAGCGATTAAGCTTCGAAGGCCATTGCCCGTTGGCATCAATTTGTCATTTACTTGGAACACAAAAATTCCAACTCAGAAAAGCCGCTTTCGAAAAAGCTAGTATATAGTGTCCTTTATCCCTTTCAACTGACATAAGGAAAGTCTTTAAAAGCATGTCTTACAAGGCAACGGTGTTTATCCCTTCAGTCTTTACGTATGCCCAATCCTTACTCAATCTCTCATGCGTCAAAGAATCAATCCGATGGTCAACCACCAAAGTCTACTCAAATCTCCGTTTCTTATTGGCCATAGCCACCAGCATGAGATATCTGACCAGCTGACCTGATGATGTACATAATTTATTCTCTTTAATAATTTATTATGTTATTAGTATTGTTTGTTTTGTTTCGAAAATCTCTTTATAGATTTTAATCCTTTTTTTAAGTAATTTTAACTTCCAATAGTATTAGTCATTGATGTTTTGGAGATTCAAATTATAATCTAATTTTATTTTTAAAATATTAGATTTAAGTTTATGCAACATACGGATGATAATTTTATTTTATAATAATTTTTAAATAAAATAAAATGAAAATTTTAAATAGACTAATAATATTAATAAATTAAAAATAATTATACCAAAAAGATTTGAATTAGTAAGAATGTTCATTTAATCCACAAACATCTTAAAATAAAAGGCAATAAAAAATAGAATTAATGAAATTTTTGATTAAGAGCTGATTTTGCATATAAATATTTGAATATATGAGTAGTAAATTTTTTTTATTTGAATTTGCAATTGAATTTTGCTAATAATTATAAACTTTTACCAAATTCAAGCTGAAATTTATAATAT